GCCCAGAGAAGCTGTGGCTGCCCCTGGATCCCTGGCAGTGCCCAAGGCCAGGCTGGACATTGGGGCTGGGAGCAGCCTGGGACAGTGGGAGGTGTCCCTGCCATGGCAGGGATAGGACTGGGTGGTCTTTAAGCTCCTTCCCTATCCAAGCCGCTCTAAGTTTATATGAACAACCTAAAGTCCCGGTGAAAGCCCCGGTTTAACCATGAGGGAACAGAGCAACATTCTAAAAGCACGCAAAGAGCCATTTTCAGAAGTATCTTCTGCTTAAATGTTTAAAAGCCTTCTGTTATTGCACCATAAAAATAATTTGGTTAAATTAAGCTTACCTTGCAAGTAATTCGTATTTCATAGCATCAGAGAATTCCAGGATGGTTTGGGTGGAAGGGGCATTAAAGCCCATCCCATCCCACCCCTGCCATGGCAGGGACACCTCCCACTGTCCCAGGCTGCTCCCAGCCCCAGTGTCCAGCCTGGCCTTGGGCACTGCCAGGGATCCAGGGGCAGCCACAGCTTCTCTGGGCACCCTGTGCCAGGGCCTGCCCACCCTCAGTGTAATTCTTCCTCGTATGTATTCCAAACTCACCCTCTTCAGTTTAAAATCACCCCCTGCTATTTTTAAGGAGCACAAGGAATTTCATTTTTCTTTGCTGAGAGTTGCAATCCACCAGAGCTTTAGGCTGCTACAGATTAACCATTTGAGTGCCACTGCTCTGAATTCCCTGGGCAGATCAGATTTTGTCAGCCAAGGAGTCAGAACCAGCTCCTACATCCTGCAAGTGGGCTACCAAGTGCTGACTGCATTTCATAGTACCAAAAAAAATAAAAATAAAAATACTCAGAAGCGATAAGTTAATGTGTTGTTTTCCTCAGAGAATACCTTTGAAGACTATTTGAGAATCCTACAGCGTGTTCCAGCCCAGGGAGCTGCTGCCTACATGAGAGGTCAGTGGGGAGTCCAGGGTTGGGGGAAGAGCTGGGAAAGGAAGATTTTCAGTTTCTCGTGTCATTCACACTGGGTTTAGTGGCAAATATAGCCTTTTTGGCCAAATGGACATTTTATAGGAAAAAAAAATTCCTTAACTCTCCTAGAATGCAGTAGGCAAACCCCTCTCTGATCATAGAAAYCTTTTTTAACTTGATAAAACTAAAAGGAAATAAAGATTTACCTTCTTCAGACACCCATGCACACACACACGCACACACAGAGGATGTTACATTTCCCTGAATTCCCTTCAAAGGCCAAGTGGGGGAATCATGGAGATGAACATTCAAGCATTTCTCTGTCTCGTGTTTCCTGAGGGCTGGGTAAGTCCTTGGAATTTTTAATGCCCCACTTCCATGTGGTGGTTCCATTACCTGGACATCCAGTCTGGTGAGAGGAGGAAAAACCTACACAGAGGAGATSGAAGTGTGGATAAAAAGGAGATTAAATAGAAGAGGGAGAAGTGGGGAGCAGGGCCAGGGATGCAGGAACCGGGTCACAGGGATGCAATACTGGGATGCGGGGAATGGGACACTGCGGCACAAGAAATTCAATTTTTCTGATTTCTGAAACCATTATTGTAAATCCAACATTAACTTATCCAGTACTGCCAAAGCCAAGCTTTATGAATTTATTTATAACAACAGTTTTTGCTTTCCTCGCCAGTGTCCAGCACAGCAAACAGCTCCAGGCTGAGCCTGGTGGAGAAGGGCGTCTGTGAGGCCGCGCAGTGCCGGAGACAGGAGCTGGTGATCAGCCAACCTGGCCTCTATCTGATCTTTTGCCACTTGAACTTTCACTTTCCCAACTGCTCCAAGAGCCCCATCGACCTCAAGATCGAGCTGCTGGTGAAYGGCAGGGTGGACAGGCAGACCCTGTCCACGCTGTGCGCGTCGGAAACGTGCCAGGAGAAGACTTTTAAAACCTTGCTGCAGCTCCACCTGACACGCCTGAAAGTGGAGGACCGAATATCAGTGACACTGAACCACCCCCAGTTCCTGAATGATGTTTCTCTCCCCAATGAAAACGTTCTGGGGGTGCTGAGGTACAGTGATGGGATGTGAGCAGCTCCTTGGCTCCCCGCTGCTGCCCAGACTCTTTCTCTGAACACCAGCAGTCGCTTCTACTAAGCACCACCTCAGTTTGAATTCCCATTTGCCTCATCCCTAGGGACAGCAAGGAACTCTGTGAGTGTCCCAGAAGAAAAAAAAAAAAACGCTGCAAGACCCACAGCTGGCAGGATCCATGGGTAGACTCCATGTGGGATTGCTGGATTATCCAGCGCATCACCCACAGAACCACCCAGGGTTCCTCAAAAAAAAACCACAGATTCAAACACAGCCAGATCATGGGAGGAATCCAAAATATGGAGACTTTTATATGGTGCCCATGCTCAGGACATGGGGAAATCGGTTTAACTCCATTTTCTGGAGAAGTGTTTTCACCTGGTCTTTCCAAAAAAACGACAGTCAAAGCTTGTAGTTGAGGCTTTTCCTCACCACGGGCACACAGTGACAGCTCTGGAGTAGATTCATGGTCTGACAGCAAAAATGATGAAATTATTGACTMTTGGGCTGGCAGCTGAAACTCTGGGACAGGACAGAGGAGATTGGGATTTACAGGATATTTCTGTGCTGCATTCTGCTCTGGACTTGATGCCATTTACTTCAAGTGTCCTCCTTGTCACTATTTATCCATCTTTTCTATTTAAATATAAAGCTCCTGGGGGCAGAGACTTTGTCTCAGCAGTGCTCTGCCTCTGGGGCTCCCAGACCTTTTCCTATGAAATATTAAARCAGCAATGGAGTTGCAAATGGAGCAAAGTTCATTGGGATGTATTTTCCTCGAGTGCTGTCCCACCAGTTTGGCAGTTCCTGCGTGACACCAACCACACTGGGCTGGGAATCCTCCTCCAAAACTGGCACTTTCCAGAAAGCCACAAATCCAGACTTTTCCCAAAGTTTAGATTTTGGTCCAGGCCTTCCCCAAGACAGTTTCAGGCTTGCCCTCAGCTGAGAGCTGTGAAGTTTGGGCAGTGGATGGGTGGCACTGGGATTCTTTGGCTTCCTGGAATGTTTAGRTAATGSAGRATAAAAGAGRAATCTCTTTATTCCATGAATTGCAYTAACACAGRCAGTTATTTATTTGAAATTTCWTTCTCTCAGTGTGGGGAGGGAAGGGACCAAAACATTCCCAAAACTGGTGCCAGTTCTCTCCTTCCCCTTTTCCCTTCATCTCTGAAATCCCAGCAAGGCCCATTTTCGCCATTACTGGACATTTCCCCTTGCACAACTGACATTTTTCTCTGACTGAATCTTGGCAAGCTCTCCCCAGCAAACATTTAGTCATGGATGGAGTTTCTGGCTGCAGAAAGCAGCAGTTCATCATCCCAGCTCAGTGGATGTTGGTCACTGCTGTCGGTCACTTGGTGTGAGCACACCAAATATTCCTCAGGGCAGCAATTTGTTTCCTGTTTTTCATCACTAGAAACCAACGGGGCTTCTGGATGAGGTTTTGTCTCGTCGACCTGATGACTCCAAAATACACCAGGCACTTTCCAAAGGTCAGGAGCAGCTGATATGAATCACTGCTAGGATACCTCACTTTCTGTTTTGATGAGAATTGATGCAAACAAAAAGTCCTTCTGCTGTTAATGACTCGGGGGAAAAAAAAAGAAAAGAAAACATAATCCAAAAAAAAAAAAAAAAAGAAACTACATGGATTTAGGGTTTTTTTCTTGCTTTTTTCCCCTAGCAAAGAGAAATTTATTTTTGTAAGGGTCAGCTGACCCTGCCTATGACTTTGGAACCTCCATTGGGATCTCCTCACCCCTCTGCGTCCTGTAAGTCTCTCCTGTCTCTAATTGGGGTTTTTAACTTCTATTTAACTTCTATTTTAACTTCCATTTTTTGATACACACAACCAATTTCCAGAGAAGTTTAAGGGAGCCTGGCAGTGGGGGATCATAGCTCCCAAATATAGAARCAGACAGTGAAGGAAAATCTGCATTTCCTCACACATCCCACCACTCCTCCTCTCCCTCGAGGCTTTAAATCCAAAGAGAAAGGGCATTCTTTAAAAAATAAAGCAGCTCTCCCTGCACAGGGTGATTTTATTCTATTATTTTGCCAGATTGAGAAAATCCTGACAAAGCAGTGCTAAGCTGCTCAGCCCCAGGCTTTTTAATACCTCTGGGTGAGGAAATCTGGCCTCTACCCCATTTTTGCCTCTGAGAAATAAGAATAAAGTATAGCCAGAAAGAGAGCCCATTAATAGTGGACAATTTTCCCATCAGTTATAAAAATGTTAAATAGCTTTCACTGGAGCAAGGTCCTGAGCCAGGCTGGCTCCAAGTCACTTCATTCTTTCATCCCTTTTCCTTTTTTTTTTGTACCTGAATTTTCTGAGGCACATCATTTTTGACAACAATCCTATATTAAAAAAAAAATCCACACTGGTCCTTCCCCCAGGGATTTGTAACTTCAGCAGCATCAGGAGCAGTTGGAAGGTGAATCCTCCTATTTGCCAGACCCTGCTCTGCTTCCCCACCACAGGGCCCAGCCCAAGAGAGGGGAGGGAGGTCCTAAAATCACTGAAGTCATGGAGAAATTGTGAAAATTCCTCCCCTGGTCCTAAGATGTGGCAGATGTGGGGTTTTCTGTGCCCGTGTGGGATCACCAGCTCGACCAGACCCAGGGAACAGCCACAACCCCGCAGATCTGCTCTGTCAAGGCTTTTTGGCTCTTCCCAGACACTGATAAAGTTTCACCCTTAATCTGCTATCTGGCCAAGGGGTATCTAGAGGAGTTATCCATAATCTTGGTTGATAGGGGGGAAAAATGCCTTTTATTGGCTTAATTCTGTCTATTGTTAATTGYTGGAGCAGATTTTAACAGGCACTTCAACAGCAGTCAAGCTGATGTAACACATTGCCATCCCAGCTCAGCCTGGGGCAGCAGCCCCAAATCTGATCAGCTTTCATATCAGAGATGACAGAGCTGGATCTGAGCTGGGCTGGAGCGRGGAAAGCTTTGAAACCACGAGTGCAATCAGATTTCTCCGGGCTCRATGACACCTCCCATGAAATTGGCCCCAACCCAAACTCCTCAAAGCTCAGCTCTGAAAATCAGGCCACGGCTTATCTGACAYGGATTCCTTATTCACAGAGGGACTTTCACATTCACTTCTGGGTCTGTTTCATTTTTAGTTCACCACRAGGATAAAATATCCCTGTCACTGAGAGAGAATCCCTTCCTGTGCCAAGGGCCAGCCGGGGCTGTTTGCAACCAAAAAAACCCCTATTTAAAGATCCCACATGAATCAATAGGGCACTGACCTTSTGCACAGCAGCTGCCTGACTCTGCATTCCTCTGATCCATCCAGATCCCTTGGGAAAACAAGCAGCAAAATCCTTGGCTAACTGCTCAAGCTCTTAAATAATAATTATTATTAAAAACATTACTAGAAAGAAAAATTCAAAGCAGCTCCACTGTTTTCGAGCACCTCATCCTGAAAATAACACGAGAAAGGAACTACTCAGCACAAATCCTTTTCCTGTCAACCTGAAAAGCAAAATAAATAAGAAACTTCTATATTTATGACCTTAATGACAGGTCTCTAAAAAGCAGAAGTGATGCAACTTGTGTTTGGTGCGAGCAGCAAGAGAAAACCTCAAAGCAAAGGCAGGTTCTGGAGGGAGAATGACTGGAAAAAATGCAAATTGTGATGAGCAACGCTTGAGGCAGCACGAGCTGCACCTAGTGACCTCAAAACTTCCTCCAGCCTTGTAATGGTTTTAATTGGCTCAATTTCAAGGAATGTGAGGATTCCAGGTCTTGGAAAAATTGTTTTGGAAGAGCAAAGAGCACATTCTGCACTCAGACCTGGGCACCCCAAGCCCCCATGGTTTAAATTCCCAATTTTTCTTTTCACTGCTAAGGAGAGGGAAGATTTGGAGTGGAGGAAGGTGGATACTCAAGGACAACACGCCACAGTCTGAAATTCAAGTTTAGGGAGAAATTCAGATGTTCCCAAGGAGAGGGAAGGTTGTGAGGYCCCAGAACCTGACATTTCCATGAAGGCAGAGCCTTCTCCATGATCTCAGCATCCCCAGGGATTGCAGCACCTCCCTGCCCTGTCGCAAGCCCAGGGTGCTGCACCCCAGGGGTGAAGCCACCGTCCTTCCCCAGCTGCCACTTCCTGCACTCCTGCATTACCATTTCCCCTGCTGTCAGCAGCAGCAGCAGCAGCTAAATTTAGGCTCCCTAATTCCCTCCGAGCCAGTGTGAAACAGGAAGCTCCAGGTGAGTCAGAGCACCCAAAATAGCAGCCTAGAAAAGGCAGGCTGGGCTGCTGRGTGAGTCTGTACTCTCTTCATCCACCACAGTCCCAACAGCTGTGCTCAGCTGCACAGAAAGGAGACATTATTTCATGTGTGGATTGATAATTCATGGCAAATTTCCAGGGGTGATTTATGGACACCYCAGAGAGTGCTGCCTGTGCCTGGAGGATGCATTTGTAGGGTAAAACACAGAATTTAGCAAGMTGTTGGATTTATGAACACCAAAGAATGAGATTTGCCTGTTTAGGTCATTTTTATTCCCACTTATCCCTTGGGTTTGTCCAGAGCTGACAGAGGGAGAGCCACATTTTGGAATTAAGCACCAATTCTTGTACTGGAAGTCACTTTTGATGCTTTTTTTTTTCCTCATATAAATCTGTGTATTTATATATCCACATATAAAAATTGGACATTTTTTTCATTCCTTCCATTTTGTTATTATTAATTCCTTGTTTTTCTCTCATTCTGCTCCTTCCTCTCTTTGCTTCTATTTTTATGGCCCTATTTTTATATGAAAATGGATGGGAAAGGAAATCAAACATGAGGGAAGAAAGGGGAAGGGGAAGGAAAGGAGAAAGGAAAGGAAAGGAAAGGAAAGGAAAGGAAAGGAAAGGAAAGGAAAGGAAAGGAAAGGAAAGGAAAGGAAAGGAAAGGAAAGGAAAGGAAAG